TCTCTTTTTGCTAATGATTGCGGTGAAACTGTTCCCTCCAGACATATGTTAATCACATAACAGATATTTCGCATGCAAACTACAAAAATGTTTTGCTAAGGATTTTCACCGAAATCATGAACAACCGCATCGAATTAGCTTTAAATTCCGAAAAATCACATCCCTGCCCAAATTTCTCGGGATATTTGTTACACAGTTTAAGAAAGCACAGTTTGACATGGATTTACTCCCCTCCCTCTCAATCTCCCTTGACCAATCTTCATGTAAGTGCGCCTCACCAATACTGGAAGTAAGGTATTCGGCTATCCAGGCAATTCTAGTATTCTTTCGAATACAAATACCCGTTCGGAGTGGTGTCCCAAAATTCGGTATACCTGTTCATTCTTCCAGAAACAAATAATGAACATTAAAATTATGATTTCGAAAGCTTAGTCCAGCGGTATTATTAGCATGTAGCTGAACCACAAATCAAATGCACACATATTTACAGTAGCTGCTGCACTTGTCAATGTCCTCTTTGCCTATTTTCAGCTCGTAAATGATAAAAGTCCATTGCTGTTAACGAAATATTCCAGCCAGCTGTCACCGTTGCTACGTAAAATATGAAAAGAAATGTGATCGGATATAAAAAGATGTGCGTATTCTTCAGGATCGGAAGTGCTGAAAATACAGTAAAATTTTGCAAAAAAATATTTTTCGTTTTTTGAAATTAAATAATAACTATAAAGTTCACGGGTGTGAAATTCCAGGAAATTTCCAAGAAAAGTAAAACTGCCTGTGTAATCAGTACAGAAAACCCATGTTAGTGATGTTACTGGGATACTATTTCACGACCGGCACAACCATGCCAGTCCCGTTAATCCAGGGCTAAATATCTTCAGTCAGTACCCAACATCTGTTCGATGTTTGTGATGCCACCTCTTCGAAGGCTGCTCAAGTTTTCGTTCATTTTCTAGCAGGCACCACATTCTGGCTTATATTATGCCCAGAAAATTTTTTATTTTTCCTTAAAATTCTATTGAACTTCAAAAAGTTCACAAGAACTGAGAAAAGTAAAAAATACCTGTGTATCCCAGAAATGTGATGTATATATAGTAAACTACAGCGACAAACCAAATCGTATTACCAAGAAGTCGAGGCAAAAACGAATCAAAACCTATCAGATCTGAAAACTGATTTAACTGAATACTTTGCTGTTTTTCAATTCTGTGAAAGTTAAGCGTGAACCACGAGGGAACCGAAAGTTCGCTTGGTATACTGCTATCAGAAGAAAACAGTTGATGGTTTGCTCTGAATTTTCAGTACACTAGCCAAAAATAACATCAAAATTCATCTCGTATTCATCATAAAAGGCAGCAGTACTCGGAAAGTAGCCTGAGCGATAGCAAATGCCAACAGCAGCCAGCCAATGGTAAGGCTCTGAATAAAGCCTTCCTTCGAGAAGTGTTTGGAAGCAAGCTGACGGACTAGTTTGATTTGATAACAAATGCCATTACCAATTTATCATTGAAATGAAGCATGCTGATCGGTTTTCTTGGCAAGTACATAAATATCTAGCTTAAGACCGAGACGAAACGGCAAACTACACAAAGACTAAGTTCGAAGCAACAGTTCAAACCAATAAAATCTACCAAACGTTATCTAACAATAAAATCCATTGAACTTTTTAGCTATTCCCCCAAAAAGTCGATGATGCTAAAAGTTGACTTACGTGAAAAGGTGAGCGGCAAAAGAACATGAAGAAGCATAAGCATCGGGAAGAAGGCATTCAGATGCACATCAAAGCAGTAGCCCCATTCCACATCCTGGTCATCCACTCTTCTCAAAAAATTATTCGACGCAAACCTGAAAGTTAATGGCACGTATGAAAGTCATTTCATGCCGAAAAAAGATAGTTCTAAGTAGCCAAAAGCAAATAAGACTACGAGTTTTAGCGATAAGTTGTTTCGTGCAAAGTGTTTTCGCAGTACTGTGCATTTTTGCATTGTACATAATACATAAGCAGGCGCAATAATAGTTTATATCTATCGCGATAGAATCGACAGAAGGCTATTCCGATGATTCCCACTCCTATATGCCTGGTTTACTCTCTTTTTCTGTGTTAACAGCTAAGGGATGAAACAAAGAGTGCTCCTCAAGTGTTATTTATCTTCTCATAAATACTTCTGCATTTTTTTGAACCTAATAATTCAGCCGGCATTTCTTCGCAAGAAAAAATTAGTAGCACTTTGCAGGAGCCCGAATTTTTAAAATTATAATTTATAAGTTTATGAAGCATAAAAAGAAATTACCATAAAATGGTTGCAATAACGATGCCAGCACCAATACAATCGATAAAAACGACCCACAAGAAGAAGGCGATGAAGCCAGTGAATGAAAGCTGA